AAAGAAAACTAAAGAAAATAAATGGACAAAAAATAGCGATATGCCAGATGAAAGACAAACTATAAAGTGCTATTCAAGAATATTTCAATTCTGGACGGAGAAAAAGCGAACTTTGGTCCACCATCGCGATTGTGATCTGATAATCCTTTCATGAAGTTTCTGAAATTTGCAAAGCTAGTATGGAAAATCTCTTTCGCTTTTAAATTTCAAGTAACAATTTTGCTCTTCCTCTCCCCCCTTCGTATTCTTTTTGTGTTCACGCGCAGCGCGCGTGATTTCACAAATAAGCCAATCACGTCAAAGAACTCTAACCTTGACATTGGAAAACCGACGTAGACATTTTTCGCGTACTTTTGGTTTGCTTTCGCGGAGTTTTAGTTATCTTTGAGCTTTCGTTCTCGTAAATTTGTTATTCTTTTGTTTGGAATTTGTAGGAAGTTTCGGACTTTTTATTTCAGCCAAATTTTGTCGTCTTTTTAACAAGTTTAATACATATTTTCCACGGAGTTTGGACTCTAGCCTCTTTTTTCGTAAATGGATTTTTTTTTACATTTAAGAAAAAGTTATAATATTTTCCGGAGCTTTTCCAGCGAAAAAAAAAGTCAGTCTAATAATTTTTACCGGTGATATTTATTTCCACTTTGAGGACTTAAGCTTAAATTCACTACTGGACCGCACTACGACAAAAGAAGCAAAATCGAAAGACGACAACACCGAGCCGTGTCCGCCGGTACAAACGCCATTCACCTATTTTTTTTTTTATTGGTGGCAAACTGTTTTCCTTCCTCCGATTTTTATCTATTGCCTCTCCTTGAATTCAAGCTTTCACGGAGTCCACGTTGAAATGTACAGAAAGTGTTAAAAGTGCTTAAACTTGGCCAAATCTATCAAATGGATTTGCACACAAGTCTTGAATTCACAATCAGTTTGCAAGTGGTTTTCCTTCCCATGTATATAAGATTCTCGATAAATCTCCTATCAGTAATCCTGTTAGTATGTCGCTACGATTTTATTAAAGCAAAAAATGGTAAATTTTCCTTCTCGGCGAGTAGTTAAGGGAGAGATTTAGTCGAGTTTCACAAGTTCTTTCACCTTCACTAGTACCGCGCAGCCAAAAGTGAAGGCTTAAAACGGCGCAACCAGTTATTTGAAATGCGTTAAGAAGGAAATGAATGTGAGAAAAACAAAATTTGTCTTTTCGTTTTAGGCATTCAAAGTGCTTTCTTTGTTTCACAAAACCAAAGGCCTTCAATAAAGTAAAATCTGAGAATTCGTCCCATGTGACGCCACTTCTTAGGACAGGAAGATGTTGCAGTTTACGATAGATTTTTGACCAATCAGAGCGCACGTTGTGTCTAATACCAACAGATCTTTCAATAGCATGTTTAAAGCTTTTCTCTTCAACACGGTTTAAAATTTTTCTCTTTCTTAAACCGACGTTTGTCGAATTCAAATTTAGCACATTGAAAATAAGTTAGTGGCTACTGGAAACCTTTGGAAAATTCAGTTTTTCAGTTCCGTTTCTGTTTTCAACTCAGTTAAACCCGGTTATACATGTTTTTGGTGGTGTGAATGGGGTATAAGTTATGGTATAGAAGCAGATCACAGCCTTTTCCCATTGATTTTCATTCGAGTTATAAATTAACTGCATATACAGTAACCCGCGGTCTACATACTGGCGATAGAGTTGATATAATAGAGTGGAATGGATTGGAAACTTTCAGCCGGCGGGTCGACGGAAAAATATGCAATTGCATATTTCGAATCTGGCCAATTGCAGCCAAGTCCACACTAATCTGGATAATTCTTCGAACGCAACTTAACTTGTGGCTTCTTTTCACCAGAAAACGGATGAAATGTTTTCCGTGAAATGCAAGCCTCTGTAATTGTCGGCTGTAAGTGCGCGAATGCAGGGGCGTTAGTTTTATAACTCATGGCTTCGCCGCCAATCGAATATCAATACTGGACAAAAAATGCTTTTGTTGCACTAATTCCCCTTTATGAATTTCTTGTGCAATATGATTATGTTCGCACCTTTATATTTACATAGCTTCAAATGTGGCACTAGTAACAGTCTGGAAGCGTATCGCGGTGGCATCTCGAAACGATTATTATTCACGTGATCAACATATGACACAGTACGATAACTATGGTACCAACAAACAGTGGGGATGCGACCTCACCTTGGTGACCAATCACGGTTGCTTTTTTGAAATTTTTAAATGCCAACAGGTAAGACGCTTCATTTCTCTGTTGCAGTTGCTTGAGAAAGTTTTGCTAAATGCGTGTAGAAAATAAAATTGAGTAAGAATGGGATGTATCTTGAGCATCCAGAAGGTAAAAGTGAGCTTACTTCAAGTGGTTGAGTAGAGTAGTCAAAATTCGTTTAAAAATGCGCACTTTTGTTCAACGGAACGACATTCAACTTTATCCCAGAAACCGTTTGCCTTTGTGACATCATGCGCGCGCAGCACTTGCATCGAGATTGTGAATTTGCGCGAGAACTGAACGAATCCAGCTGACGATTTTGCGGAAAGCATTCGACGTTTGACGTTGTTAAATAAGGAATAACCCAACAAAAAACCAAACTTGTGTTGCGCCTATGTTCTGATCGGTTCAACTTTCACCATTCGGCAAAATTTGACATCCTTCCCTCTGATTTAACCTCTCAATCCATTGGTGGCATTTAATTCATGGTCAATATTCTGAAGTCTTAGAGCACGACAAGAAAACGAAATCTTGACTCGATTATCTCTCTCCTAAATTAGACCTCTACAGAATTAACATCTCTTCCACAGCCTCAGCAGTTAAAAAGAAACAGCTACTAGTGACCTTGACAATAGAAAAGTTTAAATACGGAAAAAGTAGATCGTTTTTACACTTTCCTTTCCATTCGTGACCTAGCTTTGAGCCCACGTTAAGCCATTCACTTGGCCAATCAGCGCATGCTCAAAACTGAGATTCTTAACTAACTGCCCTCCTGTCTTAATGGAGTTGCAAATTCAAAATTCCTTGTCAATGCAAGACTTATATGAAAGGAAAAAACCTTCAAAAAATGGGTCAAATTATACACTTAGGGCCGGCCAACGAAGGTATGAGAAATACCTACGTTTTGAGTGGTTTCCACAGCTAGTAAACTTATTTATAATGGTGTGTGAATAAGCAAAGTAATGTCTATATTATCTAACGCTGTTTCTCTTCAGGCCTTCAAGATCACGGCTTTCATCTCTTTTTTATCGACGCAGAGGAGTACAACAGGGCAGTACAATTCTCAGTGTAAGTTTTTGTTTGTTTTTGTATGTTTTTTTTTTACTGACAGAATGAATGATCACATTTGTATTTGTCAGTGATCATCAATATGTTGTTCAGGGAATGACGTTTTCTTGGATCATTATCCAAATATTATGATTATGCTTTGGAGATTACTGCAAGCAAAGAATGAAAGCGATAAAAACTTACGATAATCATTTGTTAGATCACTGCCCTTTAAGTCCACTTCGTGCTGACACGTCTCTTAATACTTGCAATACTTGTTTTGTTTTGCAGATCGACCTCCATTGTCGACGGCATTTGCGCTGTAACAGGAGACGGAGAGTGTGTTATTGTATGTCAGCAGTATGATCTACAAGTGGCATACCTCCCGAACCCAAATGGCTACGCCTGTAATCTCTTCAGTGATCTGTGTACTCGGTAAGAGTAATGATGTCAAACTCGTTACCAGAACTTCTTACTGTCTGAAAGTTCGAGAGAACCCTGGAATTTGAGTGGGAGTTCGGGGGAAGGGGAGAGAGGGGAAGAGATCTTTGTTTCTGTTATGATACCCAAACCCTAGGCCTGATCGTGATTACGGGATAAGAAACCTTCACAGGAATTCATTTTGTGATGTATCGATGGATACAACTTCTTTCTTCACTAATAGCGAGAGGGTCATTCATCAACCTCCTAAAAGGGTTTGGTGTAAACCATTTTCTAGAAGTAAGACACATGACATTGTAAAGTCAACTCATTTTAGACACAATCGCATGCTACTTATCAGTTTCGGTAAAAAAAAAAAAAAAAAATTCAGATGCTCTTTAAAGAACCAAGTCGCTGAATTGCGTTCGACGTGAGGTCATATTGCATGATATTTTTGGAGATTCAAATCATTGAAGTAATGCATAATGGCAGCCATACGAGCCTCTGTCGTGATCTCAATATAAATTCTTCAACAGTGTCATAACCATGATACTACAACACATTTTTAACTGCCCAACTTAATAATAATGCTTTTAGTTGTATCTGTTTCACATAGACTTGGCGACAGACTCCAGAAGTTTGTTTATTTTCAACCGTCATAGTATGTCCAGGTCTGCCTGGACATACAATCAAGAAAAGGCCGCCACTTTTTCAGGTGAGATAACACAGGGGTTTGAACTAATTTGTTAGACATAAACTAGAGGTAGTGTTTGATCACTTAAGGAAACACAAATATTGATGCAAAGAAGATTTGTAAGCGTTCGGAAAACTTGTCGCTCTCTCTCTGAAATATTTTGACTTTTTACATAGTTGTTTGAGGGCCGCAGTGAAATAATGGTTTTTACGGCTGACGGTCAAAGTTTTGGCCGCTTTACGGCTAATGGTTAATTTCACACCGTAGCGATTAAAAGAAAAATTTTTTACGATTAGCTTTTTTTAACGCCTCACGGCTAATTTTATTCGCCGTTCTATGGCCAACGGTCAACCCACTTGAGACTCTCTTGTTTGATATCTTACTAGTGAGACGGCTATGTCAAAAATGACATTAACAAGTGGACGGGCTCAATTCGCCAAGTTGACAGTTACAGTTATCGTTATTTTATGAACATTCTCAAAAGAGCTGTACCTTGTGACCCTTTCACCCCATCAGCAGTTTGGCGAATTATCATCACGATTTCACGGGACAAGTTTGGCATGGGGGGTTATCTTAATATGACATTAAATCCCCAGACTAAATTTATAAAGAAATCTATAGCAGCTGAAAGGGTAAATTGTTAAGGAGTTTGGGAGTTCAACCTTTTGTAACCTGACATAACTTGTTAATTAGCCTTATTTGTTTCTTTCTCTTTCGGGTTTCCCTGGTGAGACTAAACTTAATTAAATTTGAATTATTCTCGAGGGTGGGGTTGGGACAATATTCCATTGTAAGTGTATGTCAGATAATTGGTGCATGCAATGGAAAAATTAAAGCAATATCAAAGTAAGAAAAATGTTAGAAAATTAATCCAAAAGATACATGCCATTAATTAGAATGCATTGTAAACACATGTATTTAGTTATTGTTTCAAATCAAATTTGCCTGAAATGGACTTGAATATCAAGCTGGAAAACTGATTCTTCTTCATTTGAAAACTGACTTATACTTCTTGAGTATTTCTATAAGTACATTTTAGATCAATGCATTCTAAGAGAAATTCTACTCTAAGCTTTATCGTAAGGTATTGCTGGATTCATGTCTTTTATGAATACTAGGCATATTCTATTACAGCCTTCTGTTTCTATTTGGACTCAATTCTGTTTGGTGGCATAAATCTGTTTTACATATTGGCAGATCAATTTTAATTGAATAGTCACCTTGCATAATGAACCAATATTCTCTGGTTTTCTGGTGAAATTTTCAATCAGAATTAGCCTCAATTTCCAATCAAATTTTTCCGTATATGGCTAAGTGCAGTGCTAGGACAAGAAATTTTTCATACCAATATTGCATGTATTGTGGTTTCTTCACAGTGAGGTGTGTGTTTTATTCATGCTGCATATACTGAAAATGGAGCTGCCAAGACAATAAAAAAGAAATTCTAACAGTATTTACAGGGGCCAACCTCACATCCAAGATCTCTTGCCATCTGGAGCAAGCAAGGGAGAGTGGGTGGGATGGAGAGAGACCCTGGGAAAGAGGTTGTTGAAGAACTGTAGCCCAGGCTCAATATGTTCAGGCACAGCCTGGGAGCCTGAGTCAAGTACATCAAGTAGGGGCTCACCTGTAAATGTTCCCTGTGTAAAATTTAATTCCTAAATCAGCCAACAGCCCCATAGCAACTCATGTGACACTTAATTGCCCTAATGCAAATCATTAAATTGCTTCACCAAACTATTGGGCATATTGCTTGAAATCATCAAGTTCTTTTAACAGGTGCCTCTCTTTTAACCTTAAAAGGTTACCACACACCACTGCTGGATTATTTTTGCCAGTATCTTTTTTAATTTGATAAAATTAAAGTTAATACCTGAAATTTCCTTTTCCTGTGATATAAAGTCAAAATCTTTTTTTATTGAGAAAAGTTGTTTTCATGAAAAAGTGGAAAATTAATCAGGATGGCATAATCACCATATGCAGTCTGCTGGCCACAAAGGCCTGTGTACAATGATTCAAGCATGGTGGATCATTGCATGGGTTTCAACATTTGAGAATTCATACATTTTATGCTTGTAGAATGCACAAATTTACCCCTCCTAAAATAAAGCTTTGATCTTGAAATAGTTTAAGGTCATTAAACCTGACACAATTGTGATAGATCTGTTTTTCTTTTTAATCCACATGTTGTGTCCCCTATTGTGTAAAACAACTGGTTCATGGTCTAAGCTGTGCTTGTCTTGAGGTACGAGTTGAAAGGAGATGATTCAAGAAGCTAAAGTTGCTCTAGCCCATGCCTCAAGCATCTCTCTCCTCCTTTCCAAACTTCCCTCATACACTCATTACTGAATCTATGCAGACACTTGATTTGATTATTATTGATATTTCTTGAAAAGAGCAAAACATTTTCACTCATGACTGAAGGAATAATTGAAAAGTCACTCAAAACTGAATCCTATGATTGAGACTGAAAAATCTTTAGCTAGCAACAAAAATTAAACCTGGTGAATGTCATCCTGGTAATGTCAACACTGATGTTGCATGAAGACTTATGTAATGAGTAGTGATGTAAACTGTCACAAGTTTAACTCCCAAGATCTGGTTGTCCATTCTCCCCTCCAGCTGCCATACATTTCCTTGTAAGTAAGTTATGAAAACTTGGTGTTAGATCAAGGTAACAACTTCTACCTGATAAGTTTGAATATTCTCATGACCTGTTTCTTGGGTAATGTTTAGATATTACAGGGAGAAGTTACATGTCAATCACTTTTGGGAGTTAGAGGGTTAACAGAAGCTTGTATACAGAGAAAACCAGTTGTCCTTCAGCAGCTATTTCATCAATAAGATAATCCCAATTTGTCACTTGCCTGCTCTTTCATTTGTACCCACTGACACTCAGTTTACTAACACACAAACAACTAAAACATTGTGTGTATCACTTTCAAGTGCACTGAAAATGGAGAGAGATTTCAGCATATCTTTCTAAAACAAAGCCGTAATCCCATATTAAAAGCAATGTACTGTTCTCTTAATCCAAGAACTGTATGCATAATGACTGTATGAGAACTGTATGCATAATGAAGTATGGGGCTGTTAGGAAATTTTGCCGAAAAATGGCTATAAAGACCACACGATAATTGAACAAAATGTAAACCGTGCGAAAGTTAAAAAAAAAAGCTCCAGTTAACATGTTTCCCTCGGTAAGAATACTAAATATGTGAATTTCCCGCCCAGTTAAAAAATCTGTGCATATAACATATCAGAGAGATCCGATCGAATTTTGTGTTTGCTTCGTAACTTAAACAAAGGAAGCAGAAATAAATCGAAACCAAAAAGAGTATCATGCAGTATTTGGGTAAGTAACCTTACCTCCGACTGGCAAATGATATGGAGCCACACGTGGTTTCCCCGTCAGAGTTTTTCAGCCACTCTGATGTAACTTTTTCCATCCAAACATCATCACACTAAAAGCCAACATGTGCTGAAAGACAAGTGATGTTGAAGGTGCCGTTGGGGCAGCTTAGGCAGCTTACTCCATCACTAACTAGAGCGGTCGATTTGTTTACGTCACCATATTGAATCTGCTTTTTCCAGTTAGTTCCCAGTGTTTTGCGTCTGACATGGCAAAACGCTTGAGGTCACGTTCCACGTGTAGTAGCAAGCGTTCAGTACAAGTTCAATTAAGCAGTACCGATATTGAATACTGAGATTTAAGATACTTACATCGTGTATTGATCAAGAGAGGATATTCCTGCCTCTCTAAATCGTGCCATTCCTGAATTTTTTAATGATAAAGGGGAAAACTATTGTCAGGGATGCTCAAAAGAACGACTGTCTATGCAGAAATCTAAGGGCACCGTGAAAGGTCTCCCGATTGGTTAAGGTAAAACAAACCACGTTGTATTTCAAGGACCAAAAACAATTACTGCTTCTGCTAGTTTACCTGTTTCGGTTCATCGCCTACGAGACTATGTTTTAGCTATAGAGACAATGCCCTTCTGAAGAGAAACTTAAGTTTGTTATCTCGAGTTGACTAAGTCCTACAAGATTTAAGGTTCGAATTGGGAGAGTGAGTTCCTTAAAACAATGAGCAAAACGATGGCCATTGCAATACTTCATTTGTACATCTTGAGTTTCGACAGGAATACATTAATATGTACATGATTGCCTGTTTGTTTGTTCCTGTTATTCGACCCTGATAGAATTCCAAACTAGCTGACTTGCACAGGCACAGTTAAAAATGATAAGAATCAGCCGGTATGAATAAAGCATCAGGGGATTTTGTTCTTCATGAAAATCTAAAAAAATGCGGCTAATGATTACAATCTGTCAATTTGTTTTACCTGCAAATCCAAAGGTTACGAAACATGCCGTTGCTTCCAATATTTTGCATAAAAAAAGTCTTGAAATACACATTTTAAGCCTATGGTAAGCGATGACGTGAATTCTCGAAAAACTTATGGTATCTCAACAATCGATTAAATGGTTTACTAATATAGAATTTGTTGTGTTATCTCTCCGTTTTAGACCAACGAGATGTTGAGGCCCAAGAAGATGAGCGTGTTTTTATAAACGTTCATTAGATGGCCCGTCGAAACCTTCACACTAACTTTGCCGCCCGCCTCTTCCGTTCACTTAGATTGACTGAAACAAAGAGAAAAGGTTGTGGTATACAAACAATCGATTAATGGTTTAATAATCGAAAGTTCTTCGCGTTCTCTCATTGTTTTAGCTCCACATCTTGTCGAGGCCAATGCAGGTCGGTGGACTCCGTAATTGAACACTGGATCTCTTAGATACATTTGGACGAACTGAAGTCTGGTTGTTTTCTAGAAGTTTCTGACTGGAAACATATTAGATGAACGTGGGACGTATATTACAAAGACACTCAGGGTCTTTAAAAGGATGGAGTCAAGGGGTTATCACATACTCAAGTGTTTTTGCCATTTTTTTTCTACTCGTGATTACCTATCTATATGCATATCACGCTCACTGAAAGAATTTAGAGGCCTGCGCGTGTACAATCCACAGTACTTCACACGACGATTTGGGCTGAATAATTCTCAGCACGACGAGCTGCAGTGACTTCTCTCTAGTAATTTGTAATTAGTCATTAACTGATGTTTTTTTCAAAATAAATCAAAGAAAGCAGAGCCGCTTTATTGATGGAACTCTAGGTACAGTCTGAAAAGTGGAAAAGGAGAACACCAAATAAACTGTTCTCAGTAACTCCTTCACATTTCCGTGGAAATAAGTGAGGTACTATTCACTCTTATTTGAATAATATAAAGTTCTTTTCACAGCAAATATCCTCCAGGAATTGGTGTCTACTTTCTGGATGATTCCTTTGTGAGAATTATTAGCATGTTTTAGTTTGAAAATCCGACGTCCTTCTCCACAATTGCTGTTGAAAGTAAAGGAAGTCAATATCTATTTGCAAAGAAGATTTGTTCCATCATCAACCGTCGGTAATAGGCGTCCCCTCTCTCAACCCAGAACATTGCTTAAAACCTCCCTGGGATTAAGACATTCCGCGTAGCTCATTTGAAGATGCTAAAAACATCAAATGAATGAACTATTCAGACTCTTGGATCTAAAGAATTGTTGGCGAAAACTCTCCCTTGCTTTGGTACTGCTAATATTGTTATCCTTAAGGAAAAATGTAAATGATTTACATTTAATAAATTATATCTCAACAAGACACAGGTGTGACCTCTGCATGTTTCAAGTAAAGAGCAAGACCACGTTATTAGCCCTTAAGGTATTGGCAGAAAGTTTTGACGTATAAGTTCTAGAAAATTTCCACTCAGGTTTTTAATCCAAGCTAAGTTTTACAAGTTCTACAAAAGGTACTTCAGTAGTCAGCTCTTGAAAAATCTTGAAAACAAAGCACGATCAATGCAAGGTTAAATTAATCGGTGGCTGAAAACTATCATATCAAGAACGAGGTATTAAATTTTTAGCAGGCTTTATCTTAAACCTTAGCTTGTTACCAAGGGTAAATTGGAAAAATTTTAACATGCAAAAAAATCTAAAAATAGAAAAAAATTCGGCTAAACTGAAAAATGTATGATTAAACGTTTCCTAAAATGTTCGAACTAGAATTAAAGTCAAGCACAGGAGCGGAAAGGACAAGATAATTTAGATTGTCTTCGCTCTAGTATCAGAGTACTTTTCAGAGAGATTACTCTCCTGTGGAATGTAATGGAATGGAACCTTTTCCAGTAAGAATAAAATTTGGTCTCAGAAATGTGATAAGGAGCCAGTATCGTCTGTCGTTGTCACATCATTGTGATGACAATGAAGATGCTTTTTTCCGAAATCAAAGGGGCCACGCCAATTGGAACCCTAGATTAACATCTCGAAGTTGCTGAACGTCTCTATTGAACAAGCCGAGAAAAGGACCACAAGAGAGAAAACTAGTTTCGAGGCATTGATTGAAGAAAAATTCAACAATGCTAATCTGGAGCAACAAGATTGCCAATTGGAGGAATATAATGGAACGTTTGCAGACTCATGTGGTGCGTGGTTTCATTATGAGACACACTGAGGAGAGAGCACGAAGTACATATTAAATTTTCTTGGCTAAGTCACCCGGTTGGCTCGCTGAATCTTTCCTGCAGAACATACACCAAGGAGAGAGTTCCCGTTACAAGACCCTTTGATATCGTGTAGAGAAGTTCAACAAGCTATTGTGCAATATATCGATCACACAATCCTCCTCGCCATTCACGATACACAGTCTATTTTTCAAGTTTTAGGTTTTAAAAAAGTCCATTAATGGCTACTAAGGCGGGAGTCTAACTTAGTCATAGTTTTCATAAAATTATAAAATTCTTCCCTCTTTGAAAGCACTGTCTTCTAGCGCAGCAAAAAGCGATACAATACAACGCAATAGCCATAATCCACGTAGAGTCTACTAATTAATTTACTTGCGTCCTTACCTTGATGAATCAAGAAGACCAAAAACTAACAAAGATTGAAATTATAAAGTACTGCTTAATCAAAAGACACTACACAACCATTAATAAAAACTAAGGTAAGTATGACGTCAAACTTTGAAAAACCTTCAGCCGTAATCCTCTGTATGCATGATATTCTCCTACCTTGACACCCAAATAAATTCCTCGTAAAACATAAACGTAGTCTGACCAGGATTAACTCCACAAATTCTTCCATTCTAGCCTAATAGTTGAAACAGAAAGATCTACGATTCAAAGTGTGTGAAACGAAATTAAGGGCGTGACCTTTGGAAGGCCATTGAGCCAACTGTTACACTAAATACAATTCTCAACGAGTTTAAAGTTTTGTGTTCTCTGAACAAAAATGCACCGTAACTTTATGGTTATTGTGATAAGTGTCCGAGTGGTCGACTGACTCTACTTCTTCAGCTGGACATTGAAGAACTTGAAAATGAGACGATGGTTGGCAGGGTTGATTTTCAACATCCCACTTAAAAAAAAAAAAAAAAAAAAAAAAAAAAAAAGAGATAGGCAGAAAAAGGATTCAGTGCAGAGACAACCACTTCAAAACTGACTTGCAATCTAAATAAGACTTGGGAAATACTTTCTCCCTCCCAATCCAGTGAAATCGTCCCAAACGGAGCATTAACTTTTTTTTATAGTACATCCACAATAACTGCTGTCATGACGAAACAAACACATGTAAACTGGCCTGCGTCTTTCAATAGGATGACAAGTGCAAGAACAGGAATACTCAAAACCATTTGTTAAATGTAAGGTCAGAACAGTTTGCAATCGTTCTCTCTGTGTTACACTTGTCACAAAACTCTTTTAATCCAGTGATGTCCTTACCTCTAGTACTGTTGATAAACTTTTACGGTTGGAAAAACAAAACCACGAGGGATCCCACCAGAGCTAAAATTCCGGTCGTCAATGCAAACACATGTCGTACATATATGGTAACTGCATCGTTTGAGCTTGTTCTTAATCGAAAATAGGGGAAAAAAAGTAACAATTATTCACTACTTAACGCTTTCATTCCATTTCAAAATCTGGCAAAAAAAGCCACGTCATACTGATAAAAAATAAAAAAAAGCAACTCATGATTACATTTGTATTCGAGTTTTCACCAAAGAAGCTGTCGTATGTAGCCATCATAGATGTATTAATTTGATGTTTTAGTTCTCAGCAAGGCAACATCACACTGACTTTCGCTTACCTTTCGTCTGGGTAAAATTCCTGTATACCAATTAAAATTAAACCGCTTGAAACTCTGGTGATCACATCGATAATGGCAAACACTGATCCACTGTTTTCCTGAAAGGAAATTGCTTCATCATGTTATTGAGCTCACAGACGAAAACATAACTGCTAACATACTCAATTTACTGTCGATAGCAATCCTCTATATGGTTGATTTCGACAGATCTCGCCTCTCAACCGATCACAAGCAAAACTGACACCGATTTCAAATTGTTCAACGTTTTACCCTGTTTCAGGCAGTCTGCTCTTTTAAGTTACGTTCTCATTAGCTGCTTGCATATATTCCTTTTCTCTGGTAAGCCATTGTAATCACTTCTTTTTTTTTGTGCGACATTCAATCAAATTGCGACCTTATTTCAAATGCTTACTTACTGATCAACCGATTGGATGTTGCTGGTTGTATCGACCACCCTTCACGAGTTTAATTGTTTTAAAGTATATCGCAATTTGTTTTTAACGCTAACCTTACTATCCCCGATCAGCTCAATGATGAAGACAACTGCCATGACATGCATAATGGACAAACCGCTCCCTATTATGACCACTGGTGCATAAGTTGACTGTTTAATGGAGATGGTTTGGAAAAAGCTCCAAACAGCACTACCAATCACTAACAAACCCGCCAAAAGGTAAGTCCACTAGATGTGGAAATCAAGGAAAGTTTGCGGGTTAGTAAGACTCATTTAACAAAACAAGGCTTTTGCTAGTTCTGCTGAAAGAAAGAGACAAAGAAGAGAAAATCTCTCTGTAACAAGCGTCTTACACACTGCTTGGATGAGCAATGTCAAGTGAAGACTATCTTGTTTGTAAATAGGATAGGAGGGTTGGCGAGTTCTAAGCTTGCTAGCCAGTCTAGTTAACTTTATCAAAGCTATAAAAAGATCCCTTGAATTATTGGTCCTTGTAAAGTTAAAAAAAAAAAAACACTCACAAACGAATAAGCCGTTAGCAAATTTTGAACAGTCAAGGCGTTTTAGACAACACAAAAATAAATAAAATACGCTTCTGACTTGCCAGCCACAAAAGCTGTTAGTCTAGGATTCAAAATTGCAGTCCTACCTTACTCCCAATTTTGTTGTTTAGTTTGTTAGATGTTGAACTCGCTAGAGAGCCACTGATCAAGAGTATGAGTGGAAAATAGGCGGTAGATTCCTAATGCACAATAACAATAAAAACGTGATAATGTTACGATTACATTTTTCAATATGAAACCAAAAGTACAAATCACGTTGAAAAAGAAGGTAAAGAAAAAAAGAGTAATTCATACCTTAGGAAATCGCAATGTTTCTGTGAGGAAAAGCGGCAAATAGGTGGTCGTAAAGTCCTGTGCATGGCGTGTACATGCAAAAATAATAGCCACCTGAAAATGAACAGATGAAGTAGAAGGAGAACAAATCATAATAATATAAATACATCCAGCTAACCAGAAAAGTTGGAAAATCAAAGATTTACCTTATACAATCCTGGATCCCTCAGCCAATCTTTGATTCGTTTTGGGGGTTTTCTCTTAGGTTCTGCATTTTTCAAAGGAATAGGGACGCCAAGTAGTTCAGGGTTTTCTCCTGCAGCTGACGAATCATTTGTACTCTCAAAAGTTTCTATTCTTTCATCCTCTCTGCAAGCTTGTTTTGGATAATTCTGAGTGCATACATCCAAACTCACTTTCTTCTCAGGCGTGTGATCAAGATTTAAATCCTGACGTTCAATCTCGTTCATTGACGGCTGCTCGGAAAATTCAGAAGAAAAGAAAGTTACAGCCTTTTTTTGCTTTTCTTCTTTTGCATAACAAAAGCTCTTTATTCTATCGCCATCATTTTCGTCATCTTCAAATCCAGAGTTGGAGAGACTATATTCACCAACGTCTGGTAAATGCACGATTCCATATTTTCTTTGGTTACGTTTGGTCCGAAATGATGTCCCTGGAATGTTTTCATTCTAGTCTTCTCCGTCATCTCTTACCTCCTCTCTACAATCCTGTTTCGGATAGCTCTGAGTAATGTCATCAAGACTGATTTTATTTTGGTCCTCTTTGTCAATTTCTGCCTCCTCGTTTCTATTTTTACCTTCAGGGGGACCCACCTCGTTGGTCACTGTCCATTCACCTTCGTCAGGGGAATTTTCGATCTTTCCTTGTCCAGCCTCCAAGAACTCTACACCAGTTACATATTCGTCTTCTTCACCGTCCTTTGCAATTTGATCCCCAGTAACATTAACACACGTTAATTGCACTCGCTCTTCCCGCTGTAATCCAAACATTAGTCCATCAAACACACGCATTAAGAGACTCCTCTTCCTTTCAGGATCTAGATGCTGCACTTCTGAAACCAATCGTCTTTTTAAATCCTCAATTTTTGGATTCTTTGTGGTATCCTCTGTGGCAGATTTTAACGGATCCTGATTTCGACCAGTGTCGTCAGTCTTCCCGTCAGAAAATAGAGCATTAACCAACGTCTGAAGTAGACTTCGTTTTCTTTTAGGCAATTCATGGCTCCTACTTTTTCCATCTCCCTCCATCTCACTTTGGTTTTCTTCATATTCAGTCGAAGCCATAATCAGATCAACAAAATTGTAAGCAATGCTCCTTCTTATAGTGTCTAGAGAATAAAAAGAGACAATCAATCATTAAGCTCACAGACGCTTGGTATGGCAGTTCAAAGAATCATAGATCCTGTCAAGTAAACTATGTATTAGAACACAAGCACATGTCTCGAACCTTCATTACATGGAGGATCCATGTAACCAACATGATTTATTCCCTTAAAATAAAAGTTCCATAGCATAAATGAATTAATAATAATAATAATAACTTTATTTATATAGCGTCTATATCACTAATTGCTCTAGGCCCTTAACAATATCACAAAATGTATTAAAAACACTAAAAAACCTAAAACTACATATATAAGCATGGAAATTAAATAGAAATATATTTACAAATCAAAAAAGGCTTGGCGAATTAAATATGTCTTTAGGTGTTTTTTGAAAGAATTCAAGGAATTGGCATTTCTTAATGCATGCTGTTCCATAATTTAGGTCCTGCAATAGAAAATCTTCGATCACCATAAGACTTAAGCTTAGATCTCGGGACTTGAAGTGAAAGTCCATTGATAGCCTTACATACGAACAATAAGATTTTATAAGTAATACGGTATTCAACAGGCAACCAATGTAAATCTATTAAAATGGGAGTTATATGTTCATACTTCTTTGTGAATGTTACAATGCGTGCTGCCCTATTCTGAACTAACTGTAGGCGGTTTAAGAGAGCTTTAGGTAATCAATGTAGAATCGCATTACAATAGTCCAAGTTAGTGGTCACAAAAGCATGAATAATTGCTTCAGCAGATTCACGATCCAAATATGTTCTGATCTTACTAATATTAGTTAGATGGAAATGACATGTTTTGCATATCTTTTTAATGTGGTCTTCCATATCAGCACTGGGATCGAGTATCACTCCAAGATTGCGAACAGAAGAGGACGGTTGAATAGTTTCACCCCCAACACGAACGAATTCCAATGAGGGACTGGGCCGATAACGTGAACTGAGTAGAAGCAGCTCGGTTTTTCCCTCATTTAGCTTAAGACCATTAAGAATCATCCAATTGTTGATTTCCTGTACACATATTTCAATTCTAGGTTTTACTGAGGAGAGAAGGTCATCACTTCCTAATTTAAATGACACATAAAGCTGAGTGTCATTAGCATAGAGATGGTACTTAAGATTGTGTCTCTTTATGACATCAGCCACTGGTGAAATGTACACAACATATAACAGAGGCCCAAGGACAGAACCTTGCGGTACACCACAATTAACTTCACATAACGAAGATCTTGAGCATTCAATTTGAACAAATTGTGTACGAGATGATAGGTAGGATGCAAACCATTTCAGTACAGACTCTGTTATACCATAACATTGAGACAGCCTATCCAGTAGTATTTCATGAGACACATTGTCAAATGCAGCAGATAAATCTAACAGAAGTATTACAACGGCTTCGTTTCTGTCAATTGCATGCAGAATATCATCTTTCACCTTCACCATGACAGTTTCAGTAGAATGATGAACTTTATAGGCTGACTGAAAGTTTTCAAGTAGGTTATTGTTCATCAGATAGTTGGGTAACTGGAGAGCAACACTTTTCTCAATAATCTTTGATAGCGATTTCAAATTGGAGATAGGTCTAAAGTTCTTGAACTGTGAAAAGTCTGCATCAGGTTTCTTGAGCAGGGGTGACAATACTGCAGATTTCAAACACGCAGGCATGCAGCCATCACGAAGAGAGAGGTTGATGATGTTAGCAATAGTAGGCAGCAATAGATCTATACATTGTTTGATAATAGAGGATGGTAATGGATCCAAGACACAGGACTTCGAGAACAGTGTTGCAGTTAGTTCCCTGATGTCGTCAAGCTTCATCTCAGTAAAAGTTGAAAATTTAGTCGAAGACATTGTGAGTACCTCATCAGTGACACAATCAGCAGAGTAAATAAGAGCTTTCTTTTTAACAAGGAGATAATTATGTAGTGTATCAATCTTAGTAGTGGAAAAGGTAGCGAATTGCATAGTAATAAATGAACAGGACACAAAAACAGGTCTTATCACTCCAAAAGACGAAGAAAAATGATGTTTCCCTATGAATATCGTATATTACTTTTGTAACATTATTTTGATACTGGAGGGAGACAGGTCTACAATTTTGTAGTAAACGCAAAAGCATCTAACTCCAACTGAACTGCGCAATTCATGGACTTACCGCCATTTTCGGGTCCAAAGTCAGTCAGGAATATTCCAGGAGAATTCTACAAATTAAGAGAAAGAGGACAGTATGAAATAAAATTTGCAAGACATGCGTAGATTGCACCTTTTATCTGCTGTCGACCATTGGACATTTTTACATCTATAATCTACATCTAAATCTAGGTAGTCTGAAATCTCGGAAAAATGTTGTCGTACATATACACATGGAAACGACATAATTATATGACCAGACAATCTATAGGAAACGAGCTTCGTGCATAAAATTTAGGAATAATTAAGGAACACGCATAAAGGTGCCGTAATTAGCCATCAGAAGTTTCCTGGAATGAGGAAGCAAACGAAGTATTTACCCATGCAGCACTTCAACAAAATTCAAGATATCTAAAATATCTTCTATTCTTACCAAAAGACCCTTTACGGTGCTCTTTCTTCTTACGCGTGTTTGAGGTTCCTTTAAACCAAGATGAAAAAAAGCTGCAAAGAAGACTCCTGTTCCACTAAGAATGCACGCAAGGTACTGTTAAAGAAAGAAAAAATCAATAGGCAAATTAGAAGAAGGTAACTGGTAATTTGACGGACGAAAAACTAGATACAAGAGGCAAGCACAGCAAAGAGCAAACAAGCTGCCCAGGGAACTATTTTTGCAATTGCTCATATCTCTCCTTTAAATTTACTTAACGTCAATAGAGAGTTGAGTATATTATGGCCCCTAAGCGTTTATGGGTTGCTGCTGCTTACCAGAAACTCTGGAAGGCTGTGAGGTCCCAAATTATCGCCTTTGTCTTGTCCGAGAAGGCCCCAAGCGACTGTGTAAACGAGAATGCCACTTAGGAAGCTGAACATTGTCCTTGTAAACAGATAAAATACAAGAATATGGGAAATAGTTCTTTAGTGCCAATTACATTATCCTTGCAAAATGAACCTGGGAAATATGGCCTCCCATTGCACGTGCTTTCATCATATTACGAAAAAGTAAACATTATGTCCCACTTAATTGTAAAGTGACCGAATTGCCAATCCAATAACCTGAACTGCTTTATTCTCTTTGTCTAGTTTATAGCTCCCATAATTATATGATAATTTTGAGGATAATTCGCATGCATAAGTTACAAATTTATTTGAATTACATCCTCCGAAGAAAACCAAAATTAGTTTACAGGAGAACATCCTAGGCGAGAGAGTGAAGAGAGAAATTTGTAAAGCTACATAAAACACATATATGAGAGCCATACAGACTATGAGTTTCAAAGAAAGTTGTCTATAACAAACCTCAAGGTGCTTATAGCTGTATATTCCTCAACGGACTCCGCTACAGTAGCGATGAAAGACAAATGATTTACTTCCATAATGATGACAAATATGCCATAAATAGAATTCAAGAAGCCGTAATAGACGATTGGAAGCCAGCTATGATGATTACCAATACAGGGATAACAGCGGTTGGCGTAAAGAGGGACGACTACGGACAACAATACTGTTGCCAAAAGGTGCCAAGATTTTCGTCGGCCGAGTTTCTTTGAAAGAAAAGGTAGCTCAACCCTATCAGCAAGGTAACCAGAAATTGATGCGAAGAACGCATCAACTAATTGCGCAACGAAAAATATAACTCCAACATCTGCAGCTGACAGTTCCACGACTTCCATCAAAAACAGGAGAGCAAATGAAGCATTATGATTCCGGCAGAGTTCTATGAATATATTTCCTACTGCGCAAAATATTCGTTCTCTTCTTCGCATCTTAACATGCAACGAGCTGTACGCAATCCACCCGAAAACGGTACAGTTTGGTTGGATACAGATTTAGTCACGTAGTTACTATGAATCTTGTACCAAATGACTTAACCATGTCCATAAAAGCATCCCTTGATTATAAATTCCTACGTAATTGGCCTCTTGGAACGTCTAGGAATGTGATAATTCGAACAAAAACCTTCCAAAAAATTCTACGAAAAAAAACTTGCACTCGACCTTGAACTCTTGAACACTGTTTTAAAAACATGCCCGCCGGCAAGCGATGTATTCTTTGCAGATCATACATGCACGTTTATGATATGTTGACCTGAATCCACTCCCGGAAATTTGCGCTAAAAATTAAAATTTTATCTTAAATGTGGTTGTGTGCACAGAAAATTGGTACCTATTACTCGTTCGAAGCTTTCCGAAAGCTTTTGATCAAGGCAAAAAGATTATCTGAACAAAGTTGTGAATTGGCTTTTAAATTTATAGTTAGAAAGTTCATTTGTATTTTTTGCAGTCACATACATGCAAAATGGATAAAGTAAAAATTCGTATTCCAAAAATTGGCTTCTTCTATGACCACAACGATTATCCCGAGGAGTGAAATTCGGATAAGGTATTATTAATTTGCCCACTAACCAACATAATAACGGAGGTGCAAAGGAAAGAAGATCATTCTGAATGAATTGTGCTGCGCATATAGGTTAGATTAGTACGATTGGTCCCATGTAGATGCTCCAGCATTTTTTGAATATCAACTGCAAAAGTCTCGCTCATTTACTGGCTAAGAAATTCTGAAGGACAGAAATTCAAAGTGCCAGAGGGCTCTGGAATTGAAAGTTGTCGACACATCTTACATGGTAGGAAAAAAATGGATCATGATTCAATAGTTATGGAGTCAAGTGTTTTTTTTTTTCTTCCATCATGATTATAAATATATATTCATATCACGTTCACTGAAGTAGTTTGATGACTGCACAAGTACAATACATATTACCTCAATCGATGTTTTGCCTGTATAATGAAGCACAACGAGCTGAAATGCATAAATCGCAAGAGTCCAGAGTTTCTTAAAAGTAGTGACCATAAAATATTATTTTTCTTGGCATGTTTCCCAGTCTGGCAAGTGCGGAAGGAGAACACTCAGTAAACCTTTTCTTACAACTTTCTCTGCAATCAAGTCATATATTATCCAACTCTGTTTGAGAAATATAGGTCTCGATTGGCATACCCTCCGGCAATTTATATGTACTTTCTGGTTCATTCCTCTGTGATAATTATAAGCATGCTTCAGTTTTGAAAATCCGTACTCTTCTTTAAAATTGCTGCTGAAAATAAAGTAAGTCCATATTCTGCAAAGGAGATTTGTTCAATCAACAACCGTTGGCAATAGTCCTCGTCTCTTAAAACCGCCTGTGGTTAAAACGTACCGTATAGTTCATTTGAAGATGCTAAAAGAAAAATTCCAACGAGAGGAAACCAGACTCTTGGATCTACTCAAGCTTTGAATCCATTTATTTCACTCGTACTGGAAGCTTTATCAAAGATATCTTAATAACCAGCTCCTGAAAAGTCTTGAAAACAAGGCATAATCAATTCACG